AGAATAATTAGAAAGAGAGATAGAATCCAAAAGTGTAGAGGAGAGGAAAGGAAAATAGGAGTAGAAAATGAGTGTGCTTAAAAGGCAAGGTATACATAGCGGTCCAGCTATTTTTAATTTCAAAGAAATAGACAAAAAGGAATATATATTACATCAGTTGCATAAAAAGACATAGATAATATAAATAGTTTGCAAGATAGCTTAAAGAGAGTGAGAAGCAAAAGATGAGTGTAATTGAATTTCAGGAATTATAGACTTTTAACTATCAGAATATTAAGTTGTGTACTCTCTGAAAAAGTTCAATCATGAAGAGGAAGAGGAAGAAGAAGAGAGAGGGAGAGAGGGATCGAAGCGTTTTTTTTTTTTTTAAATATATATAATTGTTATGGTGTATATATGCCAGCTCTATTACTGGTTGCTCACGTGTGAGTTCTTAAATGTGTTTGACTTTCTTAATAAACTTTCTGATTCGATTGCCGCCATGCATGTGGTACTTGCTTCTTACTGAGGCCAAACCTCACCAACTTGCTAGTCTTTTTATATACTATATATTATCAAGAAGCTGAGCATGTTTCTGTGTTCATATATTGCCTTCCACTCAGACTTCATGTGTCATATGTTCAAGTGATTCGCCATTAAAATATCAGTAATTAACCAACTTGGATCAAGAGTGTATCAACGTTGACCTGGGATTTTATCTTTATTCAAAGGTAACTTAGTGACTCCATTTTAGTTTTAGATCAGTAGTTTTTAGTATCCTCATTCTTACTGAGGAAATATCTGCTGCCATATATATTTAGAATTCTACTTGGGACATAGAGATTAGTTGAGTATTTTTTTTTTTTTTTGGGGAACTAAAGTCTTCAAAGCAAAGTAATTTCTTAGTTGGATTTCGATTCATACATCATAAACTTCCTGATGGATATAGTTTTGGAATACAATCTACTATTATTTGGGTCTCAGAGAGAAATTAAAACAAGAATTTCCCCTCCCTTGTTTTATTACATATACTTATTCTTAATTTGCAGAAGTTTCTAGTTTTCCTCCTTTGATTGATATATCTTAAGTTCAATGATAATAGATACACTAGCAGCAGTTCATGATTACTAAATTACTTATTTAAACTCTCTGATTGAGAACAATTCTTCTTTTAAATGATCACTGCATTAACATACAAGCATATGACATTAATTAAGGGTTGAGGGAAAAGATTGGACACCTTTCACGATAAGTTGATAATCTTGTTAGTGATAGAAAACGACTTTTGCAGTGTGATGGATAATTGATGGATAGAGATATGCTAATTCGAGACATCTCACCCAGCAAGTTTTTCATATTAGAGAAATCATTAGACACATGTAAGAATCTATAGCACAGTGATTCTTATTTCAAAAGCTCTAATTAATTTTTTTTTATTGCAGTAATAGAATTCCAAATGTTGTATAATATGACTGAGACGCTTAACTGCTGAACTATTTGTCCACTACACTCACAATCACGAGTAGTTTTCCCTTGAAGCACACCTTAACATAATACAAAGGAACCAAAAGCACCATCCAGCTCCTTTTATTTGATATGTGTCATTCAGAATCAATATAGTTAGTCTACCTAGCAGTAATTTATATCACAGAAAAAAGAGAAACCAGAAGAGTTGGCTCGCAGACTCAGACCATATATAATTGTTACGGATTACGAAAACAAGAGTTTCTCTTAATTTCTGGGGAAGGATATTAATTGAGAAGTACTGATCTATCAGAGTGGGTGGTGAAAGAGAGGAGTGTATTTGGAAATTGAAATGGAAAGGGTTGGTATTATATAAGTAAATTACATAAAAGCAATGCTTAGGCTCTAAGCAAGGTGGCACCATCCATTCTTGTTTGACCCCGTATTTTGAGCTTACAAGTCGCCTTATATTTCTCCTCTCAGCTTCCCAAACCTAACTTCAATACACACCCCCCCCCCCCCATACAAGCTTGAAGGGAGGGGGGACCAGTAGAAATCACAGCTCCGCACGTTTTTAAATTTTTCTTAATATTATATAGATAGTTCGCCAGGCCCCCAGAATTTATGAAAGTTTTGTAATACATATGCTTTTTAATCTTGACCCCTCATAAATAAATCACTGTGTATATATACTATTATATGATTAGTTTTCTGCATTACTGCACGTAAACCCAGAACCTATGCCACCACCACTTCTACTGGCTGGCCTGTTAAGAAATGCCAAGTGAGACCTCATAGAACCAAGAGATTCTTCAACGGTGTTTGAAAATAAACCCTAAAATTAAAACTCTTGCTTCTTTCCTTGGATAACATTTTCGATTTTAAAACATGAAACAAACATTCGGTTGAAAATACTAGTCTTTTATGGGATCAATTATGCGTATTAAAGTCTCGACATGGTGAGTACTAGACGCCAACCCTCAACAACATATATTGACGTATGGTCTTACTCTAGTATCACTATAAAGCTTGGATCGTTTGGATTTCAATGGCCGGGTAGCTCTTTTCTTTTTCTCTCCCTCTCTCTATGTCATTAATGAATTGGAGGAGATGGGTTGATCTACCATATCTAATATAACGTACATTTGACCCATAAGGACTTAGATTTCTAATATCATTCAATTCTATTCATATGAAATTCCTTCTATTTATTTCTATTCAGATGTATAAATGCGAATGGATTTAAATTAACATGACAAATCTTGCAGTGAATAAAGTTAAATCTAATAAGTAATATATATATATATATATATAATAAAATGAAAAGACTTATAAACTTGAAATCTTGAGATGTGGTGCTATCTTTTACCAGTTTTAACCTGTTTGTTCTCTTCTCTCATTTCTCCATATTTTAAATTAACTTATAAAATAATGCAATTTTTTTTTTCCATCATGTTAACAAGTTTATTATGGAACTCCTTTGAACGAGTTTTGTATAATATGTTCATGTAACTTTTTGCTCCAAATTTCAAAGCATATATAAGCATGTCAACCTAAGCAGATGACCTCTTTTTAGCCTACGTTAACAATTAGTTGTAAGGTTTTCAATCAAATGATGAGTTGTGTGTGTGTGTGTGTGTTGCCTAAAATTGTAAGTCTGGGATCTATCACTTCAAAATGTGAGCTAATAAATCACATAATCACAAGGAACATCTTGACCTAAAAATTATTCGTATAAATGCACCAGTTGATTTGAACACGTACGAGAAAATACTCTTCATACGGACCAGACGCGCCATCGAATTGAGAGTCTCTTGGACCTGTGTTGTCATGTGGATGCCCAACAAACAACTGAAATACATTGTCCATAATTATTAAGAATTAGCCATATTGTTGATTGGTAGGAGAAAGGGCTCTTTCAAAGCAAAACATAAGAAAAGAGAGACACCCAGAATACAAATATCATTCAAGCCCACAAAGTATACTATTTTTAAGCATCATTTACTGTATGAATATTTTGAATTTTTATTATTATTTGCTAATACTAAAGAGAAATATAATTACATACTGTGAGAGATCAAACTTTTTTCTTTTTGTTAACTTGATGAATACTTGTGCATTCTTTTTTACAGACCAACCATTAAGAGGGTGAGAATGAAAATATATGAAATAGCCTGTCATGAATGGGCCCAAGAGTAATAATGGAGGCAGTGGGCTTGGAGAATTGTGAATAGGTCAGGAAAAGGATTGATGGACTACGGTATTATATTATTAAGTGAAATATATTAATATATATGCAGAAGGGGCATCGTGGAAGGCACAGAGGAACATTTGATGATTTACGCCTGGTATCGACTTCTCTTCTCTCTATCCCCTTCTTCTATTTTCTTCTGCAATTTCGTTTGTGTTAGACTCAGCCTTTTGGCTAATTTTCCAGTTAATACTGTCATTGAGTAACGTTTTCATGCCATAATTTCCCAATTTTGGGTCCCTATCAATCTCTTAGTGTAGGCGATCGTGACATAACCCCTTGCATTTATTTTTTCTTAATATTTTTTTTAAAAAATTAAATAAATTATTGTAACATTAAAACTTCATTTAAGGATCAACTGCTTCAATTCATTATTTTATAATATGCTGAGATTAGATTTAGTTACTTCACCAAGCCGTCATAACTGTCTCCACTATACATTCCATCAGTCATGAATTTTTCCAGCTGGAGCCTTTTTTATTTTTTTATTTTCTTTATTTGTTTCCAGCCAGGCTTGGGATGATTTGAATAAAAAAAACACATGAAAATTAGTTCATTATAACTTTATACTTAAAATAATTGAAGATATCGTTTCCTTATCTATTTGTTGCCATACAATTTTAATATGAGAGATTCAATTATTCATGAAAGGGACAAAACTTGAATGCTCTACAATATAATTAATGAATTCGGTTATCCAATAGCAGCTTTGCTACCTTTTTTTTTTTTACTTTTTATCTAAAAAAAAAAAATCTTGCACCCACAGGTTCTGGACTTGCAGATACCAAACATAACCAGATTTGGATCATCTCTATACTCTTTGAATACATCCTTATATATCTAATTATATCCATTCATTTAATTATTTATCTAATAATTTAATGGTGTCAGATTTATTATTATGATATTAAAATAAATATACTATTCATCTACTGATTATCATAAATAAGTATTATAAATTTATTTTCAAAAGCATTTAAATAATAATAGTAAATAATCTATTTATTTTAATGCCAGAATTAGCAATATGACATTATTAAATTAAATGAATAATTAAACAATGAATGGGATTAAATATGTAGAAATGTATTGGGCAAGAGTATGAAGAGGACCCAAATCCTCATATAACACTATTTGAGATATTCAATCACACGAACTCATAGGTCTTGCAGACGGAAATAACTTTACGGGAAATCAACTGAGAAAATTTCATGCTCTTAGAGCGTTCAACATTTCATATTCAATAAATCACACTTATTTCTATGTTTTTTCCTCTCCGCTTGCCAGAATTTGTGCGCACAGGAAGTATCGAAAAACTTGGTTATTGAAAATTCAAATGACTCGTGATTCTAAAATAATAACAGTTTCTTCAATGACACATGATAATGGGGGAATTGGATTCTTGCATATACATTGTTAATATTGATCATGAGCTATGATCCCCCACACACACACTTTTTTCAAGTGCACTCATCAACAACTCAAGAGACCTCTACAATAAGCAAACCAGGACGTAGAAAATTTCACTAGCTCCATCATCATGCCCCCACCATTTTCAGAAACAAACTCTTTGCATTCCCTAAATTAGGAGCGCAGCTTCTAAATCCACCTGATCTTCTATTTTTGTACCTGAAAGCAGAGCCCAGTTTTGATGTCGCTGACCTCACAGAGAATGAAGAAGGAGATGAATATCCCAGCGAAAGCGACGATGACGACGACGACCAGTAAGACGAAGAAGGAGACACGTGAACCTTTCCAGAGCCTGCGAGTAGTGCCCTCGAAATGCCTGAGATGATACTGCGGGTAGTCTTCTTGTTTGGATTTCTAGGGTTTGGCTTGGACTTGGAGGTATAGGAAGGTGGGGGTGTTAATGGAGGAAGAGAGGTCTCGCTCAGAGGATGCTTCGGAGTTCCTGGTTTTGATTCCCACCTGAAAGGAACTCCGACTGAAGCTTCTCCGTAGTACAGTACCCTCGAAGACGAGTTAGCCATGGAAGCTTCCTTCGCCACAAGCCTCGAGAAGAACCCTCCGTCCTCCTTGATTCTGAAAGACTTCTCAGCCAAGCCATCAGTACTTGGCATCTTCGTCTTCACTATTCTCTCTGCAGATCTCAGATCCCTAAATGGACGTCAATCACGAACCCAGTATTATATTGAAACACACACACACACACACACACACACATGACATGTAAAACTCAAGGAGAGAGAATTAAGGAGGGGTGGCTAGCTCACTGGCTTGGCATCTTTCGATTTTAAAATATGAATTATTAATTGCACGTACCTATTTAATTGTGACCACATTTAATGCCCTGGTTTGTGGTAGATATAACTATACAATTCCCTGGGTTTTCCTCTATTGTTTTTGGAAGCATCTCTTGTGAGAGAACGAGCAATTAGTCCCACATGAGAAAGCTTATTTTGCGTTGAATCTTGGAGTCCTGGTATAGACATCATATTCGGATTTGCTTTTAGATATATAGTTCATACATAAACAAGAGTTAATGAGAAGGGCAAAAGAAGATTTGGTTACAGATGAACTCTAATAAATGAGTACTTTTGGTGGTCCTTGCTTCATGGACGAAAGGAGAAACTTGGTTATAAATATTGGCAGATGAACCAGCCACAGTATAGTCTACTCTATCGCTCTCTGCACTAAATTCAATATGTAGTTTGTTAATATTGTAGTACATTATAATATACACGCACCTCCTATTAGATTAATCAAATCCCACTATCACCATTTGAGCACAAAGTTCAAGAGATGATGAAAAGCATATAGAGAGAATACTAATCACTGATCCTCTGTTATTAAAGATGATTGAATCGCTGGCTATGTATAGGTTCAAAACACTTGCATAACAAAGTTTGAAGCAAGAGTTTGATGTAATAATATTCATGAATCGTGAGAGAATTCAATTCTATATATCTTCTCCCAAGCATGTGTGAAAAGAAAAGAAGCAAACCATACAACTACTTGTGGTCTAGCTTTGTTATTAATATTGGTTGGTTCTTGATGACGAGCCTGATGCTAACAATTCAGCCTCATTAAATTGCAGAGCTGAAATTTCAGTCTACTTCATATTCGGACAGAGACAGTAAAAAGAGGGAATTGAACTCTCTGATTTTTTTCCTTCCGCGAGCGGCGAGGGATTTTGGTGCAATTATTGGTCGTGTCAATAGTCTAAACCTTCATATTCGTTTCGAAATGTCAAGCAAGTGATGATGATCAGATTTCAAAGTGCCCCACAAGATGCATGGCTTTAAATATTGTTCTGATTGATCCAAATAAAGCTACTCGCGATCAAGATGATATGTATATATATGATTGATGTGTCTGCATTAAAACAAGCGTTAATCGAGTACATTATTACTGGTTCAATAACGCACTCTGTTATGTTAAAACTAAAAGCATTGCTGTAATCTTTTTTTACAGTAGAGTATGGGTGTAGTGTATACCAAGGACCAGAGGAAGCTAGTGGTCCAGTTCTGAATTTATGCGCACGAATTTCTTCTTCTTCTCTGAGCTCTGAGCCACATGCCACATGCTTGGGCGGGATCATAAATGGACGATCATTAAGTTCTCTGCACCACTTTTGGGCGTGATGTACGTACTCTGGACTATTGTCGATCCTAGCGAGGGATTAGATCCCATGACTTATATATGGATCAAATTCTTACTAATTGTTTGTAATTATTTTTACTTTAAATGCCGAGAATTCACGCCAAAGAACATTTTGAAGCACTTTTTCTTATTCTATCGGCTGACGACTTAACTTTTTTATTTAAAAGGAAAAAAAATTGGTTTAAAACAATAATAAATGTGCGCGCTTTCTTTTATTTCCCCACCGTTACAGGATCTGTGCTTTCTTTTTAACGAAATGTAGCGATTGACAAAATCATGCTGGAAAGAACGAAGCTAGTTGCTTGGAGGGATCAATTATAAGGAAAGCCATTTAACAAATAAGTATTGGTGATTGCTAGGTGTATAAAAATTGGCGATAATGAAACTTTTGATATCAGCTATTGATCATTTGGTCCTTAAAATCTAATAATTATGAACCGGGTCCCTAAACTTTCAAAACCATGCATAATTAGTTCTTGTGAGATATTATATTATTTTTTTCTTTTAAACCTAAATGACTATTCGTATATGATTTTTTAAATTTTAAGAATTTATTAATTGATAGATATTAAATTTCAAGAACTAAATTATAATTAAAACAAATTTAGGGAACTACAAATTGTATTATTGCTTAAAATTTAAAAGGTTGCAAATTGACAAAAACACGACTAACATTCTATATTAGCTCATTTAATATATGAAAACTTTGTTGCCGGATAATGTGTAAATAATATTTTTTTATTATCAATTTTTAGAGTTTATCTAGCATTAATGAGTGCACAAAAAATAAAGGGCAACAAAAAAAAAATGGTGCAAAACAAAGTTAAAGTACACTACATCAATTCTTAATGTAAGATGAAGTTAATTAACTTTATGCTTTTAAAAATTGTTAGTTATAATCTTGAAATTATGGGGAAAACATTATATAACTTTTCAACTTTACATTTATCTGCAATTAATAACCATAGTAAATTATTATTTAAAATAATAATAATAAATAAATAGGGATAAAATTAATGGAAAAAAGAAGCATGAATTACTATACTTTGGTCTTATATTAAAGATAAGTAGAAAATTGAGTAAAAGAGCAAAATTGACCCATAAATTATAAGTACAGGAGTGCTTAGGATCATAAACTTATTTTTTAAGATAAAGAGGTAAAAATACTCACAACGTTATCAGCTAAAGGTATCTAATATTTTAAAGTAAGAAAAAGGGCAAAAATACCTATAACATTATATGGGTGGGTGCAAAAATGACTAAAATGTTAACTTTGACCTAACACTATTAACTTTGATTGTTAATGTTGACTGTGCATGTTATGTGTCAGTCTTTTCCGATACGAACTAATAAAAGGGCAAAAATATCCACAAAGTCATCGACAACAAGCAAAAATACTCACAAAGTTATTGGCTAAGAGTAAAAATACCCATAATATTATCAAAATTAGTGTAAAAGTAATCAATCCATTAAATCCTTTAAATATTAACTGTTTAGCTGACATCTAAATAAAAGTTGACTATTTTTTTTGCTATATGGGTAAAAATATTTACAAATGAAATTTTTTAGAGGTTAATCGGTCACGGTATGGATATAAAATGAAAAAAAAAGTCATTTTAGTTTAATATTAAATTAAATCATTTGTTTCTTTACTACAGTGGCGAAAATCATTTGAAAATTTTGAACCTATCATGAAGAAAATTTCTTAAGATTGTGACAATGTTCTTAAGGTAGGGCGGCATAGGAAGTGTGCTCATTCTCGATATTCGATTATGTACAACTTATCTTACTATGTTGAATATCAAGTTTTATAAACAAAAAAATTGGGTGGAGAGGGAGGAAGGATGGGGGCAAGATACGTGGAGATGGAAAGAAATCATGTGGCATGGATTTTGACAAAGGTAACGTTATGGATACTTATACAATGAACAATCAACATCTATAAAAATTTATTTGGAAATATTTTTTGTCTACATCAGTAAGAAATAGTCAATTTTTGCTCATGTGTCAGCCAAATAGTCAACATTTAAGGAATTTGATGGATTTATTACTGTTACACCAACTCTAAAAATGTTATGGGCATTTTTGCTCTTGGTCGATAATTTTATAGGTATTTTTGCCCCTTTATTAGTTTACATCAACAAAGACTGACATGTGGCATGTACAATTAGTATTTAATGGTCAAAGTTAATAGCATTAAGTTAAAGTTAACGGTTTTATTACTTTTACACATACCCATATAATATTATGGGTATTTTTATCCTTTTCCTCACTTTAGAAAACTAAGTGCCCCTGGCTAACCATTTTATGAGTATTTTTACCTCTTTACCTTATTTTTTTATATCATGTTCGCCTTCAAATTTAAAAACAATAAAATTTGTTTCCTACTGTAAATAAAAGTAACTTTAACTATTGATTGACTATAAAATGATAACTAGAAAAAGGCTTCAAAAATTATAAAAAAATAATAAAATTTTCTTGATATTTTTATGTGATTTTGGTATTTTTATCTATAATATTTGGATCATTTATATTAATTTTGATGCCCATTTCTATCATTTTATAATTAACTAATAGTTAAAATTAATTTTTGTTAATAATTAATTAATAATTAAAATGAATTTTTATTAATAATAAGTGTTAGATTATATTATTTTTAAAAGTTGAAAAAAAAATTATATAAAAAATAAGTTTACAATCACAGGTGCTCTTTAACTCATAATTTTGGGGTCAATTATCAACAGGAAATTGGGTTTATTACTAAATCTTAATACGTGGAATTTTGGAGCATGAGTTTGTGAATGTAGAGTGTGGCCGCGATGTCAAAATAAATAAATAATGCAGCTTCTGCGGTTGTAGGCCTCAAAACTTGCGTGACAGCTCCTTGAAATAAACACTCCTTCAACCGAACACTGACCCCTTTCATCAATTATCCCCGAAATTTTGTCGTCTTACATGTTATCAATAAATTTTGAAAATCCCCAATTTATTAAGTTAGCCCAATTCTTTTGTTGTTGTTTTTTTCTCAAGGAAAGGCAATTTTGCTTAAAATATAATTAGACATTAAATATAAATATTTTTTTAATAAGAATTTGAAGTTTTGAATTTTGGTCATCCTTTTGGGATTTGGATTTAGTGATCATACTCAAATAGACATTAAATGACTGCACCATTTAAATTATTAAAATTTAGATTAACGATTAAGATAAATTCACTTATTTATTAATCTTAAATGAAATATAAATTCACAACCATTGATATAAATTTTAATAATTCAGATAATATAAGCATTCAATGTTTGAATTAAATACAGTCATCAAATCTAAATCCATCATATTGTAAGAAATTAATCCCTTCAACTTCATCTAACTCTTGTTAATTAAGTTAGCCCAATTCTATGTAAAGTAAATAATATTAATACATATAAGATAAATAATAATGAATTTTTTTTGTCTGTAATGTAACGTGAAAGTAGAATAATTATTTTTTTAAAATTCATGCTTTATTTAGTTATTAAAAAATGTCAAAAGTTATTAATTATTAGAAAAGAAAAGGCTTTCAACATTGAAATTTGACCTTTTCTGTTTTTTTGAGCAAAAGCATGTTTTATTTTTTTATTCTAATAAGGATAAATGAGTAAATTATTTACTTTATTACTTGTAAGTGAGAAATCATGTGTCCATGTATTTGTACATCCCTTCTATTTTAACCACCAAAATTTTGATTCTATTTTTAAAACTTATATGTGTGTGTATATATTTCAAAATAATAATTGCGTAACA